TAGAAAACCTGTATAGATACCAAATTTCATAATAATCTGACAATTTTTTAAAAATAATTCCTTAATATTGAATCAGACATGTCGAATTTCGGAAATCTGACATCAGATTCGTAATCAGCGACCCAAAAAACCCCTAGATACCAAGTTTGAAGTAAATCTTAAAATTTTTTCAAAATTCGTCCGCCATATTGGATCCGCCATTTTGGATTTTGAAAATCTAACTTCAGATTCGTAATCAGCGACACAAAAAACCCCCAGATACCAAGTTTGAAGTTAATACATCAATTTTTAAAAAAATCGCCTACTTCACAAAATCCGACATGTTTTTTGAGGTTAGAAAAAAATCCTGACGTGATGGAGCAAAACGGACTTCGGATTCGTGTTCAGCGCGTCAAAATACATAGGGTTAGGGTATTCCGGTCAAAAGTACATGGCACTTTTTTTTTTGTGGGGCTGTGTTATTTATCATTAGTTAATAAAAAAAATAATTAATTCTCAGTAAGCTCCTCTTGGAAGATTTTTTAAATTTTCTATATAATTGTATTAAAAAAAAAATGTTTTCATTTTTAAAAATTCCTGGAAACTAGATATATATATATATAGAAGGAGCCTTGAGATGAGAGACACTGAGGGCACAGTATCAGACTGGCTCCACCTAGCATAGGGTGAACGGGTCGGAGGCCGTTGGTTCCTCATAGAGTTGCTTTCTTCTTATTATTATTACACGAATGCGGTACAAACATAGGCGCACCATAAGGGCGCGTGCGCATTCACACACAAATGCAGATAGGGAACGCATGCGCAGCAATGACTAGCCAAGGAGTTGTAATGCGCAGAGAGAGAGAGAGAGAGAGAGAGAAAGCACGGCGGGGGTAAAACAGGTTGACTCGCACGCGAGGCATCGTGTGCTGACCCAAGTCTGGTAGGGAAGCAGTCATCTATTTATTCACCACAGAGAGAGAAAGAGAGAGGGGAGGGGGATGATGGTGGAGGGGTGACACTCCAAAGAGGGGGGGACGTCAACATTATCGGCGCAAGAGGGGACGACGCACGACGCGCCAGCCTGACGAGGTTGCCGCACTTCTTCAATATATATATATACATACACGGATTACCATTATCATTATTAACTACTTGTCAAGCAAAACATCAAACTGGACATTATGTTTTGCACACATAAATCCGCAACCGTTGTCTCTTTCGTTTCTCATTTATTTTTTTGTTTATATTTCTTTATATATTATTATAAATTATTATTATTATTATATAATTACTAATAATAATAATAATATCCCGTGTAGAAATTGCCCTACCAGGGCCCTAGTAGGGAATGAAACACCTAATCGGGACCAAATCAGGACGACCAGAAAATGTGGATTTCCTAATCAGGCGAGGCGTTTCATTTCCTAATAGTGGAGCCTAATCTGGGCCCTGGTAAAATTTCTGCACGGGATATTATAAATAATAATTACTATATTAATACACTGAAAATATTTTGGTGCAGCAGCTGCTCTAAACGAAAAATTACTATATTTGCAATTAACTTCAAACTTAATAATTGCCATGAGTTTTTATATAACTGAAGTTAACTGAATATATAGAAATTTTTCGACTAATACAGCTGCTCTGCATTAAAATTTTTTCAGTGTTCTAACTATAAGTTTATTATTATTATTATTAATATTATTATTATACAATTATTATATTGTTATTATATAATTATTATATTATATCACTTTATTTTTATATAATATTTTCTAATTATATTTTTATTAAATATATTATTAATTTATATTTAAAAATTTTTGTTTGCAATGCAAAATTTCCCATGGAATAATAAATGTATTTTTCTTATTATTTATTAGTTAATGTGTTCTTTTTTTTTAAATTTTTCAATTATGAGCGCATGACTATTTTAAATCGTTGTCTTTACACGCATGCGTGAACTTGACCTCGCTGACTAGTTAATAAACTCACGTGTATATTTTCTTGCAAAAATAAAATAAAGCCCCTCGCACAAGAATAGATGATGAAATATTACTTATTAATTAATTGGAAATTTCTTTTTTCTGGGTATATAAAGAGAATTTATATAATAAATAATATATTTTTGTTAAAGATTGAAAAAAAAATTCAGTTGCAAAAAAAATATATCGTATACCTTAAAGATAAACATTTTGTTGAAAAAAAATTGTTGTATTTTTTTTTTTTGTGATTTTCAAATAATTCTTCTACTTTTATTTTTTTGGGGAAAATTTTTAGTTTTTGGCTTTTTAAATATTTGACGCGCGATGAGAAAAGGTGTATCTCAGAGAAAAAAACATTTCAGGTTATGTTTAGTGACAATTTTAATAAAACATTCATTTTTTAATTAAATGAAATCAAAATCAGTTTTTATTGAATATTTTCATGAAGAAAACGTTTATGTTAAGAAGTCAATTCTCTTTGTGTAATATTAATCTGAAAAACACTAAACATAACCTAAAATTTCAATTTCAATTAGAAATTATTTAAAGTTTTTAAACGCGTTTTTTATCATTGCCAGGTGTTTTAAAGTTTTTTTTTTTCTTTTTTTTTGCTACATTTAGAATTTTTGGAAAATTTTGAAAAAGTCAATAATAATTCCTAAGAAAAAACGAAAGGTGAAAAATTATAAAAATTATTATTATTATTAGGAAATTAAAATTATTATATATATATATATATATATATATATATATATATATATAATAGTAATGAGAAAGAAATTCTTGGTAGCAATGAGATTGACGCAAGGCAGGCAGTGCCGCGAAGGCGGAAGGATTAATAAAGTTAATTGGAGCACGCTGGAGAGTGGAGAAGACTGAAACGACAACTAAACCGGGCGGCGGCATGCCGCGCGCCGCACCACTTCCATCGCTCTCGTCACGCTTCGATTGTTCCTTTCAAACCTATTACGATTCGCAATTTTAAACATAAGTTTCACAACTGTTATTTACATCCACTCCTATATATATACATACTACATTATATCTATATTCCTTTTAAATATTTTTATAAATCATTTCTATTATTCTACTTCGTTTAAAACCCTTCTATATTATAGTTCACATGAATACAATTGAAGCGTAACCAATCATCTAAAAAAAAAATTTAGATAATTTGAAACATAAATCAATTATTAGATAAATTAAAATCTGGAAAATTTGAAAATTAACCCTTAACTAGCACCAAGGGTCCACTAGACCCGAGCATTTTTTCGAGCTCAAATTGAATATTTTTTTTTACATTTTCATATATATTAGTTTAACAATATTCTTAGTAATTTTCTAAGTTTTTTTGATACAACTAATTCGATACAAAAGAATAAATTATAGCTTCAAACATAATTAATTATAAATTTTTCCATTTTAACCTAAAAATTCATATTTTATTCTGCAAAATAAATACCTTTTCTTACAAGTCATGCTGTTGTGGTAATTTTTTCATTAAAGAATAATAATTTTAAATTTTTTAAGTTATAATATTCAAATTTTAAATAATTCATGAATTTTCTAAGTAAAAATACGCAATTTTTTGGTTTTTATTTTTCACAATTTTCTTTTTCAACTAACTTACAATAAATTAATCCTTGTAAAACTAATGAAAATTTTAAAAAAGACATCATAAGCTACCTCAGATTAAATTTTTATGCAAAAATATTCAATACCGGCTGTACAATACACGTTTAAATACGCGTCGGGTCCAGCAGACCCGTTGTGCAATTTGCGTTCGAATTGTGCCAGTTAAAGGTTAAATGAATTAAACTTTAGATAATTTTAAAATTAAGTCATTTAGAATTTAAACAAATTAAAATTCAGTTAATTTGAATTCGGTATGCCGGGGGTTTTTAGGGTCAATGATAATGAATCCGATGTTAGTTTTTCAAAATTCAAAATGGCGGATCCAATATGGCGGTTATTTTTAAAAAACCGGTTGAAATATTTAGAAATGTGTTACTCAGGGGTTTTTAAGGTCACTATTTAAAATCTTATTATCATATTTGTAATCATCCAAAAACCCTTAAGTAACGAGTTTCAAGTAAATTAGATAAATTTAAAAAAAAAACCGTCATTTTGAATCCGATATTTTCAGTTTTGAAAAACTGACCTCAAATTCGTAATCAGCGACCCCAAAAATCTCCGAGTAACAAGTTTCAAAGCATTTCGAACGACTTTTTAAAAAAAAAACCCGACACATTTGATCATTGAATACGAATATGAGGTTAGTTTTCTAAAATTCAAAATGGCAGATCCAATATGGCGGTTATTTTTAAAAATCGTTCGAAATGCTTTGAAACTTGTTACTCGGGGGTTTTTGGCATCGCTGATTAAGAAATTTTGATGTCAGTTTCCCAAAATTTAAAATGGTGAATCCAATATCAGGTTACTTTTTAAAAATTGTTCGAAATTTTTTGAAACTTGTAACTCTGCGGGTTTTCAGGGTCGCTAATTACGAATTTTAAACAAGATTTAAAAAATTCAAAAAAGTGGTTCCAATATGTCGGACAATTTTTCTAAAAATTGATATTTTTTTATGAAACTCAGTATTTAGTGGTACACTAACACTTTTTTTTTATTTTGTAGGACTGTATTAAAATTGTGATAAAATAAAAATTTGGTTTTAAAATAATTAAAATTTAAATAATTTTACATTTAAGTTAATTTGAATAAAATTTAATTAAATAACAAAAAATTGTTTTGTATGAAAATTCGGTTATATATTGAAATCTACTTTCTAAAATTCTCTTAAATTTAGAAATTGGATAATTTTTAAATTCAACACTGTAAAAAATCCTTATAAGTTCAATATGGAGAATATATATATATATATATATATATATATATAGTACTTTAGTAATGTCTGATGCAAATAATTAAAATTTTCCTCTGGAAGCTTATTATAGATACCTTGGAAAAATTTTTCTGCGACTAACCTGTTTAGAAGGTCAAAACACTCAATGCAAGGTGGTTCATGATCAGTTACAGGTGAGAAGCATGGAATACAAGAGCTGGCGAAGCACAAAGACGATAAGGAAGCTCCGCAAGGGAGAATGTGGAGGTGAACAAGAGAAGAAGTAGAAGAAGAGGAACAAGAAATGGAAGAAGACCAAAAGGATCAACAACCTAAAGGCACTCCTAGCAATATAGCCGGCATGTTACAACTATCCACCAGTAAAATCAAGAGAATTGTCACTGATATTATGCATAATTTTTTCAAAATAGTAATTTTAAATTATATCCCATGGGAAATTGATTTTAGAATATAACATATACAAACTTTTTAACAATTTACATTGAATTTTTGACTATGCATTTAGTATTTAAATTTGGTTTAGATTTATTTACAAATGAACTTTTAATTTACCGTCGACTGGAGCTATTCTTATACATCAGGGGCTATTATGGTACAAGCTATAGTTTTTAATTTGTAAAATATTCATTTCGAAATATTAAGATTTCACACTTATAGCTATAACACTGTTCGACACAATTTTGCACGCCCCGTGCAGAAATTATCGCCTGGGCCTCTCAAGGCACTTCCCAGTACGCCTGGATTCTGGCAAGGGCCTGACATGGCAAACTGGCAAGGCTCTAGTAATGGCTTGAGACGGTTTTGCAAGGATTTGCCCTACTTAGGGATGAACTTGCCAGGGCCATGAGAGTTTTTCTGGGAATTACCCTATATTTTGTGACAAAAATAACAATCAGTGAAAAATGTACTACTGGCTTATAATCAGTTGTAATGAGTAATTGATTGAATCAGTAAGCAACAAAAACTTGTAACAAAACAAAAACCGAAGAATGCACAATTCTAGCCTGACAAATAATAATCCCAAAGTCGACCCAACTTCAAATATGTGTAGTAACACCAACACTAAACAGAAAAATTAAATATGGAATTAATTATACAATTAACACATTATTTATTACTGGAGACCTTATATTTACCCCTACCTATTATTATTTAACGCAATCGCTTACATAAATTTTGAAAAATATTTAACGCTCGCTGGAATCGAACCCCCCTAACCTAACGCTCCGTAATCTAACACGCTAACCATTACGCCAACTTAACGTGAGAAAATAAGTACAAAATTGATTTGATATGTTGCGACTGAGGAAAATGAAGACTTGAGCAGCAGAACAGTAAAGAAACACAATAATTAGGGGAGACCGGGCCTGTTTGGCGCAGGGGTTGCTTGGCGCACTTGAGTTTATTCAAAAGTATTAAGTTACATTAATTTTTCTCTTTATTCTGCTTAAAGTACTTGATGAACTGTAAGTTTGTACAAAATTTCATTAATATTCATTAATTATTGTGGAGTATAGATTAAAATAACTGATTTTGGCACTGCAAAGTAATTTTTTAACCTCTTCATTTTTTTGTGATATCTCTTTAAAAAATTAATTTTAGAAGAGCTCAAATATTATGTTTTGAGCTCTATACATTTTTTATTAAGAAACAAAAAAAAATTTTTGATTTATATTAACAGTTTTTATAAAAAATTAATAAATATTTCAAAAGTACATTCGGAGTTTGGTGGCGCGGTTATCTGAAAATTTCGTTAAATATTAATAAAATGAAGTTGATTATATGAAATTTACACATTAATAAGCACCAATAACAATCCTATTCAAAAAATTTAACCGAATAATGGTTTTTAAATATTTACAGCGTTATTATCAAAAAAAAAAAAATATTTTTTGGTAATTTTACGATTTCATTTAATTTAAATGAAATTTTCTAATTTTTAAATTTAAAATAATTTTTTGTTGTAAAATTACAGTACTAGACTTATTTTGTTAAGTCTTATATTATTTAAACTTTAAATCGTATAATTTAATTTTAATTTCACTCCTGCGCCACGCAACCCCGTGCCTGGGTTGCTTGGCGCGCTTTGCACAGCTTCAAATAAAGTGTTAGAAAAATAAAAGTATTAAATATATTTCAACTTTCTTTTTTTTAATTAAAGCTGATATGTTACAACAAGTTTTCTATACATTAACTTTTTTTTAAAAAAAGCAAAAATGAGTGAGTTACACAACAAAGAGTAAAAAGTGCGCCAAGTAACCCCGGTCTCCCCTAATACTAATTTTTCAGCAACTTTTTAAAAATTATTCACAGAATATGTAGTGAAGTTTCCATATAGTTTATAATTATTCGATGAAAAAAATTGTTTCTTTATTTTATGAACAAAACCCAAATATTGTACTATTATAGCCCCGGTTGATAGTAATATTGAAGAAATTTATAAATTTAGTTTAAAAAATTGTTTAGGTAAAGATATATAATAGTCAGCTTAAATATTTTTTTCGTTTTACGGTATATAGCTCAGTGGCTTTCTTATTGAACTTTCAGAAGCAAGAAGCTCGATTCGATTCTTCGTAAATTCAATTTTTTTCTATTTTAGATTGCAATAATCATATACGAATCATTGATAAATTAATTTAACCCCGTTTAAATAAATATAATTTTAATTAAATATTTTAAAGGAGAAAAAACTATATTTCTTTTTTCGTATAATTTTCTTATTATTTATATCTGTGTGTGTAACTTACATGCGTTGTGTAGTACACGTTGTGTTTCGAATCCTTCTAAAATATTTTAACGGAAACTTACCTGAAACATAAATAAATATAAAATTATTAACATTATATTTAAAATAAATTACATAAAATTAATTTCAAAATTATTGCCATTAGATTATTATTATTATAATTATCATTAATTAATAACAATAATAATAACAATAATATTAATAATAATAACAATAATAATAATAATAATAATAATAATAATAATAATAATAATAGTAATAATAATATTAAAAATAATTTTAATAATAATAATTGTTGTTATCATTATTATTGTTAATAACAGCAATAATTAATTATTAATTAAATAAAAAAAAAAATTCAAGAGGTGAAAGATATTGGTTTGTTGATAAGACAACATTTGAATGTGCGGTCAAATTGAGAGACACTGGTCGGTAAAAGCAATGTCTGCTGTGCGATTAGTAACCAGGGGCGTGTACTGACCAGGCCACATATATTCAGTTGTCAGAGTCGTCAAAGAGGTCCAGCATCTCATGCAAAACACTGACCTTGTTGACTAAGTTATCTGAAATAATTATTGTGAAAGTATTCCTTACAATAGATTTAAAAAAAAAAAAAATTCAATATATTTATAGATGAAAAAAATTTACTTCACTCATATCTGTTATTTCGTATTATTATTATTATTATTTATTGTTATTAATATTATTATTTTTATTATTATTATAATTATTAATTATATCGCGTTCCGAAGAAAGATACCTAAGAAGCAAAAGAATTATAGGTTATGTTTACATTACTGTTTTAATTTGATTAAAAGTTCCTTTTTTATTTATATATGATTATTATATGAAATGGAAATAAGTTTTTATTGAATATTTTGAATGTAACGAAGACTTAAACATTAATAATAATTTGAGACTTGAATCACTTTATGTATTTGCACTTAAAAATTCCAAAACATAACCTAAAATTATTTTCTACTTAGGTATGTTTCTTCAAAACGCGAAATAATTATATGTTATTATACTTTTTTCAATCAATTACCAAAAAAAGAAAAATTATTTTTAATAAGAAAAAATAAAAATTTTATATTTATATTATATGTATTTCATTCTTTTCCATAAACTTATATAGAAATAAAATAGAAAGAAAAAAGTTCTTTAACAATTATAATATTTTGAGGATTTAAAAAAATCATAAAAAAAAAGATGATAATTGTCATCGTGATGACTGCCACACGGCTGTTATACAAGTATTCAAGAAACATGTGGACATTCCCCTCGAGGCCGGATTTACCAGATTCTCTCGGGGTCAAACGAACACCTGCTCATGATAGCCTCTCTCAACTTCCGGAAGCTGGTACATACAACATTAAACTTGCTTGCAAAATAAACTTCTAAACCTGTTTACTAAAAGGAATCAATTTCTGAGTTTTCTTAATATAATATAATATATATAGGAGAAACTTTTCCTCTGCCAGATGATAATAATAATTATAATAATCCTCTATTATATTAATTAAATAATTTTATCATTTTTCAAATGTTAATTATACTTAACTATTATAATGTATAGAATTTTACTCAAAAACTTTATTCTCCCATCATGATTAAAATTCCACACCTGCAGAGAAATGTTTTGTTTAGACTGCAAATATAATATATTTGAATTAAATAAACGTATATTTGTCACACAGCCTACTAGTCCATTTATTTGGCGTAAATAAAATTTTTTATTTAAATCAAATAAAAATTTATTTGAAGAAATATTAAATAAATAAATATTTATTTGAATCAAATAAATATTTATTAGGCTGTGAGATAAATATACCATTTTTCTGGGTGCACATTCGTTTTTTTGCAACTTAATTCCAGAATAATAATAATAATAATAATAATAATAATAATAATAATAATAATACACTGAAAAAAAAATTTGATTCAAATACTTCAAATTATTTGAAAAATATTTAATTGGTTCAAATACTTTTTATTTGGATCAAAAAAAAAATGTATTTGATTCAAATAACTTGAATTATTTGAATTGCATTTATTTGAACCAAATAAATTGTATTTGGTTCAATTAAATAATTAATTAAATTGAATAAATGAATTTATTTAATACAAATAATGAGTTACTTGAAACAATTCATTCATTTATTTCACTTAAATATTTCGTTTATTTGATACAAATAAAAAGTATTTGACACAATAAATTTATGTAATTGATTCAAATAAACTGAATTATTTAATACAAATAATTCGTTATTTAATCCTAATACACTATTTTATCAAGACAAATAAAAAAATATTTCAATTAATTAAATATTTATTTGAAACAATAATAATGATTTACTTAAAACAATTAATTTATTTATTTCACTCAAATATTTCGTTTTATTGAAACAAATAAAAAGTATTTGATACAATAACTTTATATTTAATGGATTCAAGTCAACTAAATTATTTAATACTAATACACTATTTTATCAATACAAATAAAAAAAATATTTTAATCAATTAAATGTTTATTTGAAACGAAATTAATGAGTTACTTGCAACTATTATTTTATTTATTTCACTCAAATATTTCATTTTTTTGATACAAATAAAAAGTATTTGATACAATAAATTTATTAATTCTAATTAATTAAATTATTTAATATATAAATAATGCGTTATTTAATGTTAATACACTATTTTATTAAAGGAAAATAAATTATTTTGAT